GGTCCCTGTGCTTTGTTAAGCTTGTTCTAAGTAGGTGCTTTAGACCACTGAGCCATCTCACCAGCCCTGTGAAAGGGTTTCGATCTTTCTTTTTTTTTTTTTTTTTTTTTTTTTTTTTTTTGACAGAACCGGGGATTGAACTCAGGCCCTTACACTTGCCAGGCAAGTGTTTATTCTACTGAGCTATCTTGATCTTTCTTAAACCCCGAAATCATTTCATTCACCTCTTGTATTTCTTTAGTCTTCACCATTCACTCACTGGAGAGACTGCAGACCTGATCAGTCTACAACAACTAAGGGATGATATTAACCCTGTATTTTCCCAAGGACTATATGAACCATTGTAAGGAGGAGCGCCACTTGAGTCTGTAAGAGAAAATATCTTGACCAAACCAAAGGAAGTGGAAATTACAATTTATTTTTTAAACTTTTTTTTAATGTATCTAGTGCAGAGTCTACAGGGTCTCACTACACAGGTTGGACTCATAGTGGTCCTCCTCTTTTCAGCCTCTCAAGCACTGAGATTACAGGTGCGTGTCCCCACCTCAGTTGCTATTTCAGCAAGCCCCAGGGGTTGGGCCTGAACAGCATGCTGGGGATCAAACCCCAGTCCCTGCATCCACAGGCGCTTTTATCCGCTGAGCTATCTGGTGAGCCTGAAAATAAAATTTATTGAAATGCAGAAAATATACCAAATCAATCACACATTGTTAAGCCTTAATTATTTAACTCTGCTCACCACACAAATCTTTATCTGTACTTGGGAAAACCTAACAAAAAGCCATATTCATAATCAAACATTAAATATCTCATGTACTTTGTTGGACAGCATACATTGTATATCACTGGTTGTTTCCCCCCCCCCAATGGCATCCTCATCTTGAAACGGTAGTGACTGCTACCCCCCATCATGAGGAAGTACTATAGCATGTACCTCTTAATGTGAAAAATGAGGAAAATTCAAAATTAAAATTGACATTTATGGGCCAGCCAAATAGCTCAGCAGATTAAAGTGCCTGAAAGCAGGTACAAGGGCCAGGGGTTTGATTCCTGGGATTGCTGTGCCAGTCCTGCCCCTGAAGCACACTGAGATGTCAGTTGAGACTGAATGTGGTGGTATGCACCTGTAATTCCAGTTATTGGGAAGCTGTAAGCAGGTAGATCACTACACGTCCAATCTAGTAGTGAGACCCTCAATAACCTGTAGACCCTTCCTTAAAATAAAGATAGGTCAAGCAGACACAAAATTAGCAAAGAAGTAGCAGAACTAAAAGAGATCTTTGAACAAATTGACTTAGTAAACATATAAAGAATGTTCTCCCTACAACATCTGAATATACATTCTTTTCAGCTGCACATGGGACCTTTACTAAAATGGGAGACATATTAGTCCATAGATCATGCTTAAGTATAATGTGAGAAAACAGAAATTATCCTATGCATATTATTTAATCACAGTGCAATTCAACTGGAAATTAAAGACAAAGAATCCACAAAAACCACATAAAGGTGGAAATTACATAACACCCTCCTCAGCAACCAATGGGATACAGATGAATTTAAACAAGAAATTAAACAATATCCACAATCCAGTGAAAATTCATAAACAACTTATGGGAGACCCAAATCTCCACCAAAAAACTTCCAGAATTAATAAACAAGTACATTAGCATAGCAGGATACAAAGTCAACACCCCAAAATCAATAGCATTCCTCTACACAGACAACAAACACAATGAGAGCGAAATTAGAGAAACAATATTCTTCACAATAGCATCCAAAAGATGATGTACTTAGGAATTAAACAAACAGAGAAAGTAAAAGATCTAAAGAGTGAAAATTAGAACCCTCTTTTAAAAAAAAGAAATTGAAGAGGATTTCAGAAAATGGAAAGATATTCCTTGCTTCTGGATAGAAAGAAACAATAGTTTCAAAATGCCCATACTCCCAAAATTGTTATACAGATTAAATGCAATCCCTATCAAAACACCATTATCGTACCTAAAACATCTAGAAAAAAAAATTCTTAAAATTTATTTTGGGGGGGGCCTGCCCCTTAGCTCAATTCTTTAAGTGGCTGCTTCAACAAAGCAGTTAGCCTCAGGTTGCTGTGGTTCGATCCCCAGAACTCAAGCCAGACAAACCTTCCCTGAAGGCATTCTGAGCCAGCCAGAAAAAAAAAATTATTTGAAACCAGAAAAGATCTAGAATAGCCAAGATAACCACGTACAAGAACAGCAAGGCAGGAGAAATTATAATTTCTCACTTGAAATTAAACTACAAAGCTACTGAGAAAAAATCAGAATGGTACTGGCAAAAAAAAAAAAAAAAAAAAAAAGACCTGAAGATCAGTGGAACAGATGAAAAGATGCAAATACAATTACAAACACATTTAGGCATCTCATCTTTGACAAAGTTTTCAGATATGTTCACCGAAAGAAAGATAGTCTCTTTAACAAGTGGTCCTGGAAAAACTGGCTCTCCACATACTGAAAACTAAAACTAGACCCTGGTCTATCACCATGCACTAAACTAAAGTCAAAATGGATTAAAGAGGGCTGGTGAGATGGCTCAGTGGTCTAAAACACCTACTTAGAACAAGCTAACAAAACAACAGGGACCGCGGTTCAATCCCCCAGCACCACATGCCAGCCAGCCCCACCCCCTGGTGGGCTGAGCTGGCCACACACACACAAAATAAATAAATAAATAAATAAATAAATAAATAAATAAATAAAATTTTAAAAAAT